TGATAGATGCTGGGAAGGAAAGAGTCAGTCTCTTCTAAAGGTGTGACTCTTAGTAAGTTACCCAGGCCCCAGTAGATGGATCCACACCAAAGGACATTTGGGGACATAAATTTGACTCTATAGATCTTAATATATATAATAGAGTACATGGAATTGGGCTGGGGGTTGGGGGAAGGGCTGCAGATAGGGGAGGGGATCTAAATACAATCAAAATATATTGTATGAAATTCACAAACATTCAATTAAAAAGGAAAAATGAAAACATATATATGATAGTTAATGGTAGTTTCTTACATGCACTTTATAAAAAATACTTTCATTGCCTTGTGATTTTGAGACCAATCAATACATTATAAAGTGCCCTCTGTGGCTCTTAAGTCCACATTTGTGCCTTAACAACAACTGACATTCATTCATAATGAAGTCTTTTTATAGTTACACAGCTATTTCATGTCTCTTTGAGTGCTCAATAAAAATGACCAATTAATTGACTATCAAAAAAAACCTGAGCAGCTACTCCAAATATTTACATCAAAGACCAGCCAAGTCAGAATGAATCACTAGTCTCCTCAGTAAGCTACCTTACTTTACTAAGTTAAAAACTGACTTCAAATGAGTCCTTTCAAAGGAAGCTATAAAATATGCACTATAAAAGGTAAATGTTTAAATGTTGCCATTCAAATTTGCATTTTTTTAAGGCATTAAATATCGGCAACAGTCTCTGTGAGGAGACCTCATAAAAATGCAGGAGTCAAGAGGGCAGAAGGGCACTGGGGTATAGCAAACTCAGCTTGAATCCTTGCATATTGGCCACTAACTTTGGGACCTTGAGCAAATGAATAAATGCCTCTTTGAGTCCTAATTTCAGTTATCATGGAAACACAAGGCCTCCTGCCGGGGCTGTTGTGCTGACTAAATTTGATAACACAAACAAACTACTTAGCACAGGACAATGACTATGATAAATACTCAATAAATGATGACTACAAAGACACGTTTAAGAAATTTGTATGTGAGAGAGAGAGAGAGAGACAGACAGACAGACAGACAGAGATAGAGAAACTGGGCTTCCTAAGACATGCTAGGCAAGCACTTTATCACTTGACCTTCTAAGAATGTATTTTTATTTATAATTTAATATTCAAATTTCAATTAATGTAACTATTTGAAAGAAAAATGTAGACTCAACAGTAGATTTTTTTCCTGATTGCATTTCACCTAATTACCCTTTACACTGGTGCTTTTATAAGTCCTAAAATCATTTAGTGGATCTTAAGTAACATTTTAAAAATAATATGGAACAGAAAATACATGACTGTATTGCACATAGGAAGCACTACTTCATGATTTAAAAAAATTGTACTATTGCTGGAAATGGTGGCATACACCAATAATCCCAGCATGTGAAAAACTGTCTCAAAACACCAAGGACTGGGGACACAGCTCAGTGATAAGAGTGCTTACCTAGTACCACCTAGGTCCTAGGCTCCATCCCCAGTGCTGAAACACACACACACACACACACACACACACAGTGTCTGTATATTAGGTGACAAAGTAAAATATATTTCTTAATTCAAAGCTACTGTTTTATCTTACAATAATGAGAATAAAAATAAACTGTCACAGAGTGTTTAGCTAGTGCTGGATGTTATACAAAGGATTTTCCCATATTTCATTTGATCCCCCCAAAAAATCCTTCAGGAGGAACCTCTATTATTTTACAGATGAAAAAAAACTGAAGTTTTTTTTGTTGGCTTTTAAAAAAATTTTATTATTTTTTATCTCATGTATATGAATGTATTGCCTGCATGTATGTAAGTGCACTCATGTTGCGCAATGCCCACGGAGGCCAAAAGAGGGCAGCAGATCCCCTGGAACTGGAGTTACAGATGGTTGCCAGCCACCACGTGGGTTCTCAGCAAGAGCAGCCAGGCTCCTAACAGCTGAGCCATCTCTCCAGCCCTGAAATTGAAGTTTTGATTAAACTACTTGCCAAGAATAAAGGGCTGGTTACTAGGACAGTCAGGTTCACTCAGTCACCTAACTCCAGAACTTGCACATTTACTCACTCTTCCCTGCATAAAAATCTACCCAAACTGTAGACTTTTCACAAGGTTTAACCACAGTATCATTTTCTGGGGGCTCTCAGAGAAGGTTGTGATTTGGGGACCAGAGCAGCAGGTGTGGGATCCAGCTTCTACCCCAGCATTGCAGGAGTGGGCAAGTCATTTCATTCCACTCTGTCTGGACTTCCTTACCTACAAATCTGAATGATAACATCTGTCCTACCTCCCCACAAAGAGACTGAAAATAATAAGCATATTTAACAAATGAAATGTTCTATTGTCCTACTCAGGATCATTCCTCATGAATATACATATCAACTATTTTTTTAAAAGGGAGGCACTAGGGTTTCATGAACTGTATATGGAAATGCTTTTGAGTTCCTGGTGCACAATAGGCCTTCAATAAATGTTCATTAAAGTAAACCAATTCCATGTATTATTCATTCTCACCTTATTTTTTACTAGCTTATTTTTTCTACCACTAATTACTGAATACCTACTATGTGCCATACTAGAACTATGGCTTATAACTGGGCATAATGGCACACATCTGTAATCCCAGAATTCAGAAGGTAGAAACAGGATGATCAGGCATTCAAGGCCATCTTTGGCTACAGAGCAAGTTCAAGACTGCGTGAGACTCTGTCTCAAAAACAAACAAAAATATGGAGTACAAAAAAAAGGATAAAACCTGGGGTTGGAGAGATAGCTCAGTTGGTAATATGCCTGCCATACAAGAGTGCAGACCTGAGTGTGGATCCCAGTACCCATGTAAAAGGCAGGCATGGCAAGACAGTGCTGGGGAATGGGGGACATTGGCCAACCATTCTAGCCAAATCAGTGAAGTCTAAGTTCAATTCAGTAAGAGACCCTGTCTCAAAAAATAAAGTGGCAAGTTGGGCATGGTGGTACACACCTTTAATCCCAGCAGACAGATCTCTGTTTGAGGACAGTCTGGTCTATTTGGCAAGTTCCAGGCCAGCTGGGGCTACAGGGAGACCCTGTCTCAAAAAAAATTTTTTTTTTAATAAATAAACAATAAATAAAAATAAAGTGGAAAGTAATCAAGGACACCAATCTCTGGCCTCCATACACACATATGAATGGGTTCCTGCATGCACACACTCACAGGAGTATACACATAAAACGAACAAAAATTAATTGTTCCAAAATCTGAACAACTGTATAAGAAAAAAATCATAAAATATAACTTCTTTCATCTAGAAGTAATAATAACTCACACTATTATGGTGCCTTATAGTTTATGAAGAATTCTATAAATGTTTTGTTTTTCATAGTAATTACCCCCAAGATTATCAAGTTAGGGTTATTACCTTCCTGACTCCAAATTCAGTGCTCTGCGCGTACTGCAGTCTTGAGAGTCAAAGTTTCTCAATTTGTTACAGGTGACCATAAACATAAACTTTGGAATAAAATACATTTTTAACTAATCAACAGTAGAAAAAAAACCTAATTGTAGAATTCTCCTTCTCCCTACACATTTCTGAGTTAAAGTAGTCCAAAATGCAACCACATAACCACATAGCCTATAGAAAATGCATTTTCAAATATTTCTTTTAAAAGCTGTCCTTGAATTTCCTTGTTCTTTTTTCATATAGGCAGTTTTCTCTGGAATGGAACAATCTAGGATTCTTCTCCCAAAGAAAAAAGGACTGGCAGAGACATGCCCTCCCTTTGTTGACTTTTTAAAAATTACTCAAAATTGATCATTGTATTCAGATTTCTGAGTTGCAAACAATGCCAAGTGACCATTAGCCATTTTAAATAATTCAACAACTACTATAGGTAATTTCTACAGAGGAACACTGATTTAATTGACATCTTAATGAACTGATCATTTGCCACAGGATATCTACTAAGAACCTTTTACTAAAATTGTCTTATCTTTTGCATGATAACCACTCCCTCTCCGCCACTGCCAACCCCAACCCCAACCCCAACACACACACACACACACACACACACACACACACACACACACACACACACAGCCCTGGGGGCCTGAGTACCCTTACACCAGATCAGTTTCCTGGCCATTAATCGTAAAACCATATTAAAATTTCACAGCACATGGTCGCAGTCACTAGGTTTTCTTCCCCCTCCCCCTACACCGAATCAATGTCTTTAAATATATATATTCTCCCTTGAAATTCACAATTCAGAAAAAGGATTATGATGCCCTGATTATGAAAACATCTACTATGAAAACATCTAAAATTCAAACATCTGCTCTTCTGTTAACTGATACTCATTTTTTTTTTAAAGCCATACCCCACCCACTGTATCCAGAGGGTAAGAGGTCCAGTCTCACCACTACAGAGCTCTGCAAGAAAGGACGGTTATAGTTCCAGGAAACCCGTAGCAATGGGAGAAAACAAGCCGGACCCGTTTCACGCCCTGGCGGTGTGCAATCCCTGGCTCCAGCCCTTGGAGGGAAACCTTTGTCTCGCCTCTGCCATCAAACTGGTGGCTCATCAGAACTGGGACAACTAGAGTTTGTGCGAACCGCTTCCACCGAGGTTAAACAAAGCACTGCAGCTCTGGGGATGGGGCAGAGCCGGTCCGCGTCCGAGCTCACGGCTGGCGAGGTCCGGCTCTGCGTGGGGGACTCGGGGCCGGTGCTGCGGGACTCGGAGGGGGACTCGAGGCTGGGGGTCCCACGCTCTCGCCAAGTTCCCCGGGCGCAGCCTGCCTGCAGGTTCCTCGCGGGGATCCACAGGCGCGCTCGCCCCGCGCAGGGTCCTCGGGGACAGGGGCCGCGCCGCGCGTGGGGACACCGCCCAGAGTCCATGGCCGGCCGCGCGAGCCCACGCCCCGGGCAAGGTCGGAGACCTCGACCGGCTGGAGGGCGCGAACGGAGGAAAGCCACTCGTTGCCCATTGTCTGTGCCCGCGGCCCAGGGGCGCTCACCTGCGGTCCCTGGGAGTCCCGGCTGGCAGAGCGGCGACGCGCCACGCACATCCCGGGCGGGCGTCCCAGCCGGCTGAGCCTCCGCAGCAGCAGCCGCCGCAGCCGCAGCCTCAGCAGCCAGTCGGCTCTCAGGCGCCCGCGGCCTCCATTGCTCTCCCCGCCGCCGCCACCGCGCGGCACTGCACGCCAGGCCCGGCGCGGCGTGGTCACATGCTCCGCCCGCGCCTCGCCTCGGGCCGCTCGGACCCGCGCCGCCCCGCCCGGAGACCACCGGCCGCCGGCCTAGATGGCGCGCACTGGAGGGCTCCCCACCCCGGGGACCCGAAAGCAGCAGTTGACCCAGGGCAAGGTTTGGAACTTAACAGGGTTCTCCCGACCGCAGAGACGGCAGGAACGAGGGCTGGATGCGTGGGGTATGGGTCCAAGTGCACCTGGCTAGGACATGAACCCAAGAGCATCAGTCACTACACCAGTCCAATTCCGGGTACCTGCACTAGGCAGAAACTAACGCGATTGACCTGGACCACAGAGGAGTTTCTCCCTGCACCGTCCCAAGTACAGGAATGGCACTGGAACTCACTCCCTGAGAGATGCACGTGTGGAAAGATGCCCTCCACCTCGCGAAGCAGAAAGGCTAGAGATTGCACTGCAGAGTCCCACGGTGCTTTCCAGTATCGTGACATCGGTCATAATTGTCCCCAGGCATAAGGGCATTAAATATTGACTTCGATGTCTTAGAGAAAAATCATTGTTCATCATCTCCTTTTGCGGGCTCACCAGAAACAATAAGACTTAACTTCCTACTTTTTGCCAATGGTTATTTCAGTGGAACCATTGAAAATTGGCTCTGCCAGTCTTTCACTTGCCATGAATGGGAAGATAGCAAAAATAATTTGGTACCCTTATTAAATACTAAACAAAGCAAACAATCCTCAGTGACAAAAGATGTGGAAAGACAACTTCATACTGAACCAAAGGTCCGGGTACCCAAAATAGGATCGATAATTTTAATGCACATGAGGTGCATGACTTAAGAGCAACTGACGTGGGAGATTCTAGTGCATGGCGCCTTGTTCAACTGGATTTGTCTGGATAGCCATTTTAATTAAATACCAACACAAAGTATGGTTGTGAATTTCTGTGACCATATCATTTCATTGTTCAGTGCTTGTGTACATCCTGAACTATGTCCACTTTGTTCCAAATAAGAATAATGAAGAATTTTAGAAAAAGCCAAGCCAGTTCCTTTCAATTTGATTTAGTAGCACTAGAAGTTCTCAGAAGCCCCAAATCAAACCTGGGCAGACATATAACATGGGCATTTTCCTTGATACATTATACTCTTGATGCTATTGCCAACTATATTCTATAGAAACTCAAATTTATGTAAGCGTAAGGCTTTTCATTTTGTAAGACAAAATATGCCAGTTTATGGTTTATTAAATATTGAAAGAATTCTAGAGAGTCGATGCCCATATTAGAATTGTTCTGGGGCTGGAGAGATGGCTCAGCGGTTAAGAACACTGGCTGTTCTTGCAGAAAACCTGGGTTTGAATCTCGGCACCCACATGGCAGCTAACAATTATCTGTAACTCCAGTCCCAGGGGATCTGACAGCCTCTTCTGACCTCCGTGGGCATTGCACGACACAGATGCACTTACCTACATGCAGGTAATACATGAATACACATAAAATAAAATTTAAAAATTAAGTTTTTAAAAAATCTTATTAAAAAAATCATTGTTCTAACAATGGGACTTTTTGTGTCAGGCCTCAGAAATCAGAATCCAATAGGAACTCTTGATTGTCTTCTGAGTTATTTACCTTGACCTTTGAGTATTCACAAAGCTCATTCCCTGGATTGCTAAATTGATGCCAGACTAACAGAACCTTTCAAAATGGCTCTATACTTAAATTTTCTCATTTGGGAGACAGCACTTAACAGATGCTGTTTCTTTTGACTTTTCAAACATTGGTTCATAGCTATTATACACAGGACTAGAATAGAGTCTGGCCTACCAACCCAGGAAGCTTTTAAATAGCCAATTATCTTTCAGTGAATACAGTTCCTCCCCTACCCCTTTTGAGGAAGGCATCTTGTTAGGTAGCCTAGGCTGGCTTCAAACTTGTGATTCTCCTGCCCCAGCCTTCTGAATGCTGATAAAGTCATTATGTCTGGCCAATGAGTCAGATTTTTAAGAGACCATAATTTTGCACCAAAGATGCAGAATAAGCCAGTTGCGTTGATATACACCTATACTCTGAGCACCTTTGGATAGTATAGGATATACACCTACTCAGAGCAGCCTTCCTGCCTCTGAGGCTGAGGCAGGAAGATTCCAAGTTCAAGGTCAGCTGAATTATAAAGTGAAACCTTATCTCAAAAAAAAAAAGGCAGAGCATCTATCAATTTTCATAACATTTAACTGATATGTTGGGCATCATAGACAGTAGTCATTAAAGACATATAGTTAAGTCTGTCATTCCCAACCATGGTTATTTTGTTCTATGGGGATGGTAGGTGCTTCTACTGGGCATCTAGTGGGTGGAAGTGATGTCATATTACAAGTCATACTGTGACAGGAGAGGCCTTCCAAACTGAGAATTAGCTACCCAACACCAAATGTCAGTAATGCCAAGGGTGAGACATGCTAAGCTAGATCACAGATGTGCAAAGATGAAAGAAGGTTGTAACTCACCATGTCTGTACAACACCCCTGTCCCTGGGTATGTGCCTGCTGTTCTCTGGGCCTAAGGAAAGGAATGCAATCTTTTTTAAAATTTTTTTAAAAATTTATTATTTTTATTTTTTTAAATATTTTTATTTATTATTTTTATATATGTAAGTGCACCTGTGTTGTGCAGTGCTCACACAGGCCAGAAGAGGGTGTCAGATCCCCTGGAACTGGAGTTACAGATGGTTATTTGCCATCATGTGGGTGCTGGGAACCGAACCCAGTCCTCTTCAAGAGCAGCTAGTGCTCTTAGCTGCTGAGCCATCTCTCCAGCCCTGCTGCATGTAGGTAAGTGCATCCGTGTTGTACTATGCCCACGGAGGTTAGAAGAGGCTGTCAGATCCCCTGGGACTGGAGTTACAGACAATTGTTAGCTGCCATGTGGGTGCTGAGATTCGAATCCGGATCTTCTACAAGAACAACTGGTGTTCTTAACCACTGAGCCATCTCTCTAGCCCCATGGAATGCAATCGTTCGATGAGAGGAGAGGTTAGTAAACTGAGTGAGACAAAAAACAATTGGCAAATGTGATTCATAAAGATTAATTTGAAAGAAAACAAGAAAAATGCTAAAGTGGTGGAAGTACAGGGTGCCAGAAGTCACAGCTGTCCCTTGGAACCTCAGAACCCTCACTGAAGCATTGCACCATTTTGAAAGTTTCCCTTAGTCTGACATAAGGTTAACAATTCCCTCCTGACTACTCCAGGGAATGAGCTGTTGGGAATATACTGCAAATATTTAAAGGTCAAGGTGAGTGAGGTGGCTTATTTAAATAGCTCAAAAGACAAGCAAGAACTCCTGGGATGGGTAAGATCAGGACAGCAGGGATATTAACTTCCTGTGGCTAAGCATGTGTGCAAAGCCAGTTCACTTCACTTGGGACATTTCTTCAAATCTGTCAAACAGAGATAACTGCTTTATATTCTCCTCCTCCTTCCCCTCTTCTTCCTCTTCCTCTTCCTCCTCCTTCTCCTCCCCCTTTGCCTCCTCCTCCTCTTTATTCTACTAGAGACTTGAACCTAGGACCTTGTACATGCTAGAAAAATGCTCTACCATTGACCTACTATCCCCAAATCGTTTTTTGAGACAGGATCTCTGTAAGTTACCCAGGCTATCCTGGACCTCACTCCATAGCCCAGGCTGGCCTTGAACTTGTGAGCCTTCTGTTTCAGCCTTCCAAGTACAAGCTTTGAGACCAGGCCTGGCTCACATACCATACTGCTAATACAAAGTGTCCCTTTGTATACAAAATGATCTGGGATCGACTCCCAGCGTCAAGAAAGCAAGAGTAAGACAGAGACGTGGGTGGGGGTGGAGGTGGGGTAGGGTGGGGTGGAAACTGGGAAAATATTAGCAAAACACATAGGGACAACTGAGTATCTATATGCAAAAGAATGTGTTGAACCCCTGATTTAGCATCTAATACAAAAATTAACTCAATAGTTCTCTTTACCTTAGCCATTCTGACTGGGGTTAGATGAAATCTTAAAGTCGTTTTGATTTGCATTTCCCTAATTACTAAGGGTGTTGAACACTTTTTAAGGTGTTTCTTAGCTATTGTTATTTCTTCTTCTGAAAGCTCTCTGTTAAGATCCATAGCCCATTTTTTAATTTTTTAATTTTTATTTAATAACCACATAATTAGTAGAAGCATTTTTGACATAGTGAATAACAGTTTCCAGAGCAAAGATGCATCTCTTTCAAAATTGGCTGTAATTTTTAGGTTCACAGTGTTGAATTAATACAGTTATACATTATTGTACTCACTATAAACCCTATATGACACAAAATTGAATGAGGTTTTAATTTTTTAAAAAGATCTCCATTTCATTTTAGAATATACTGTTTCATACAGAAAAACTCATTTTTTGGGGGGGGGGGCTTTTTGAGACGGGGTCTCCTGTAGCCCCAGCTGTCATGGAACTCACTTTGTAGACCAGGCTGGCCTTGAACTCACAGAGATCCACCTGCCTCTGCCTTCCGAGTGCTGGGATTAAAGGTGTGCGCCGCCACACCCAGCGAAAAACTCATTTTTAATGCAAATAACACTTAGATGTTTGTGCATGCATCTCTAATCTCTGTATATCTGATTATTACTAATCACAGTTGTTTACTTTCTGGGATCCTCGGCACCTGAGCATGGATATAAATTCATCAGGTAGATTTCAATGGTAATGTGTTTCACCTCTACTAATTAATATGAAGCAAATTTTTATGCTTCTCCCTCAAATATAACTCATTTTTAATTTATTGACTTTTTTGTGTATTTCATACAGAACATCCCCAAAAATCTTATTCATCTTTATACTCACTTCCCAAATGGCACTCTCCCTCCTCCCACCCTGGAGCCCATATACTCTGTTATCCGTTACTGTGCATTGTGTTGTCAGTGGCCCCAACCATTCCTCAGTGCTAGTCCATCTGCTGAGTCTAGTCAGCCTATCTAGAGTTCCTTGTTTTAGGAAGATCAGCTCTTCCTC